TGTCTATGAAGTAAACAATGACTTTTTGAAACTACTTGACAATACTATACAAGTATATCTCTATATTTTAATTCAATAGAAACAACAAAAACACCTCAAGAAACAACAACTCAAAGAAGAACGCATTCATATTCCAGTACACCAAGCCATAGAAAATCGACAGCTATGATTTCTTCTTCAACTGAAAATGAGCAACAGACAAAAGCTGACATCCAGACCACAAAACCAGAAGGTACACATAATAGAACTACGCCGGTAKCTCAATGGTTTTCGATAGCTTTTATTGATTTTTCGATGTTTTCATCTCTATCAAAAGCATATGCTCCATCTACTACTGCGAAYGAAAGGGACACAGCACCCACTCAAAAGATAGGTGAGCTTTTGAATTCTTTTGATAGGCTCACCTTCTGATCGAGTTATGATGCCTTATTTTAGCTACATATTTTTTCTAAATAGCAATGTAAATCAATAGATGCACAGCTTCACTAATACAAAGACTTGTTATAGAATTCCCCGTTAAAGTATTCTGCACAAATTCTGGAGGTTATCATTGAGGAACTATAATTTYTCGAACCGGCGCGGTATAATTATGTCTGCCTGACATTTGTCATGGCCACCGTATGATGGTAGCTCAATCAAAAGACTCATTATTGTTCTCTCTCTCGTTAAATCCACTAACATAGCGGCAATAACCTTAAGTTATCTTAATATTAAAATGGCTCATATTAGAACAGCTGAGGCATCGCGCCGAGGACGCCAAAATCAAATGATTATGAATTCTTTGTATTTTTAGGGGATGTAAATGATCCTCAGTCCAAAAGTTCAGGTTCAAACGCATTCCCGTTGGTAACTGTGACTGTTTCTCTTGGGGCTGTGTTAGCTGTGTCTGTCTGTGTGCTTGTCTTTGTGTGTTGTTGGAAACGGAGRAACAGAGGTGAGGGTAATGAATTAAAAAGAAAAAGAAAAGAAAGAGGTGTCATATTTTTAAAATGGGATGTGGATTTGGAATGATACATTGACAACTAATAAATCTGGAAGCAATTATTTCACGGAAAAAAGAAATAGCAAAACCGTTTTATATCGAAAAAACAACATGGCGGCTATATGACGTCATTTGTAAGGAATATRATAATTTAACAAATAAAAAAATACATTGACTTTATTGTGATTATTGGAAATATTTRCATTTATTTTCAATTAGAATAAATGTATGTTTAGAAAAATTCCTAGTGAGAACTGAATCAACATATTAACGTACCGTAGCCAAWATAAAAAGCCATCAAATCTGATAAAGTATTGCATAACTAAAGCAATTTGCATTGATTCCGCCCTTGACATTTTTAGACATTAAAAATAGCATAAGGGATCTAAAGCAGAATGTTTCTATTGATGGTTTTCACGTCAGCCATGTTGGAGGAATTTAACAATAGAATTGTCAATGAATTCTTTTGTTATATCCTCCAACATGGCCGCCGTGTCTTTTGTTATTYAATTCTCTTRGGAATGGTTGAAAWYCRTCAATACTATTTTTCAGGACACAAGAATGTGAAACCAAGATCGTACGTATTTATACCATTTTTTCTCTCAAGTTATTAATAAACAATATGCATAAGAACAAAAACATTATTATCGTGGAAATTGTAATAAAAGATACTTTTTCATTTGTCTCACGTTTGAGGGTCGTTTGTAGTAGGACCGCTATATGTATGAGGTTATTGCGTTGCCAAAGCGGTTTTCCTTCTTGAGAAAGCCTGCTTTTAATCTTAGAAGATTAAGATTAATGTCAATCCCGAATGCGTGCGGTAAAAAAAGGATTTGCGAGTAATCTTAGGGATGAGGGGGAAAAAAGCTTTGTTAATCCGATGTTTGTTTTTCTTCTTCTTCCTTCTTTTCGGAAGAGAGACTACAAGCCTGCCACATGATGCAATGGAAATGTCGCCCAACAAAAACCAAGGTCCCGAAGATGGCGGCTTGACAGAGGATGACCAACTGTTTCATCAAAACGTTGGCGAGTCTTATGTGGCGTATGCTGTTATCCACAACAACTTAACCCAGCAAAATCAAGGTACAACTGCATCGAACGAGCCTGCATATGCTTCTATCGAAGATGAAAAAATGATGAAAAGGTCATCCAAAAACGACCCAATTGTTGCCATGCCAGCCGCCACGATGAATGTTGAGAACTCTGGGAACTCAGTGGGAGGGAAAAAATCCAATACAGAAG